ATAATGTATGGTAAAGAAGAAACTGCTGACGTATTAATTGAAACACTTAGTCAAGATAAGGTAAAAAAAGCTTTGAGTATTTATAATTGAACATTATTTAATATAATTCATAATATATTACATAATATACTTAAGTTTATTTTTGATTTTTTTTCACTTATAGGATCCAATTTTACGATATGGTGGTATATATACGGTTGCAATGGCATACTGTGGCACCGGAAATAACAAAGCTATTCGACATTTGTTGCACGTGGCTGTTAGTGACGTCAACGATGATGTACGTCGAGCTGCTGTAACAGCTCTTGGATTTATTTTGTTCAGAACACCGAAGCAAGTTCCTCGAATAGTACAATTGTTGTCGGAAAGTTATAATCCAAACGTGCGGTATGGTGCTACATTAGCATTGGGAATCTCGTGTGCTGGAACTGGTTTGATGGTATGTTATTATAATGTGAAAGTGTGAAATCCGTGTTTTTAGGTTACCTATTTGATGCATATCTATATTTAATTAGAGTTAGATACTATTCTAATTAGTGATCTGCATCAATAACGTAACCACCTATGATGCACTATTGTGTGATAATTAAACATATTCATACACATACATACATATATATACATTTATAGGAAGCTATTGAACTTTTAGAACCTATGACTAAAGATCCAGTTGACTACGTTCGACAAGGAGCATTTATTTCACTTGCTATGATTTTGATACAACAAAACGATGCAACTAATCCCAAAGTAACACCAACACGAAAATTATATGAAAAAATCATAAATGACAAACATGAAGACGCAATGGCAAAATTCGGTGCCGTTCTAGGGCAAGGAATTATTGATGCAGGTATGTAGAATAAATATTTAGATACTTGGATTATGTATTATTAATTATCTGATATTAATAGTATTCAATTTTATTAAGGCGGTCGAAATGCAACTATATCTTTACAATCAAGATCTGGTCACTCTAACATGCCAGCTATTGTAGGAATGGCAGTATTTACACAATTCTGGTATTGGTTCCCATTGACGCATTTCTTGAGTTTAGCTTTATCACCCACTGCAATTATTGGTTTAAACAAGGAATTGAAGGTATGAATTCCATTTTTTTGTTTTCGAACTTGTTAAGAAAAAGGCTAATACTAATTGAAATATTTTAAAGATCCCTAAATTTGAGTTCATCTCCAATGCAAAACCCTCACTTTTTTCTTATCCTGCAACAACTAAACCTCCAGCAACTAGTGTTGTAGAAAAGGTAGCAACTGCGGTGCTTTCTACAACGGCAAAAGCAAAAGCTAGAGCAAAAAAATCTGAAAAAGAGAAAGGTACTCATGAAGGAGATGCAATGGATATGGTAAATAATAAAAAATATTAACTTTTAAATCAAAAGGTGCTAATCATACATATGTATGTATGTATGTACATGTACATGAACTATATATGAACTAATAATTTATTTATTTGTTCTAATTGTAGGACAAAGAAGAACATAAAAAAGAAGAAGAAAAGGTATGTATATTATCTTGATAGCAATTAGTAATAATATTTTTTGTTAAGGTCCATGATTATCGTTTAGGAAGAAGTAAAGGATGATAAAAAGGGGAAGAAGAAAAAAGAAGAATCGTTTGAAATTCTCGAAAATATGGCACGTGTTTTACCAGCACAGTTACAATATATTTCTTTCCCTGAGAGTTCTCGCTATGTTCCTGTAAAAAAGGTAAAATTAAGATACTTAAAAGTTATAATAAGCAATTTTTTATAGATTACTGATTGATGATTTACGTGTGAACAATCGATGTATAGGGTTCTATTGGTGGAATTCTGATGATGATAGATAGACGTCCCGGTGAAAAAGAAGAATTAATTTTGCCAAGCACGCCAGTTGGTAAGTTAGTGAAAATAAATGTCTTTTTTTCTTAAAATTATTTTAAATTAATATATATTTTTTTGATCTCTTAGCAGCGACAGAAGTGACGGAAGAAGAGGAGGCATCACCACCGGAACCTTTCGAATATCCATTTGAAGATTGAACAAAACAATGTGGATTAGTTATCGTATATCAGTCAGGGAATATGTTAGAGTGATAAATTATAATAAAAATTATAATAAAACATATAAATTTACTATAAACTCAAGATCCTTTTCAACTTACGAGGTTGGTTTAACCTGTTGAAAATAGTAGAATAAAATTATTTAAACCGATTTTTTAAAAATTTTGTAAAAATTGAAGATTTTATTAGTAAAATTTTATGGAAAAGAAAGATTTATTAATTTTGAAAGTATAGATCTTGTATTTTTTAGATACCCTCTTAAATCAGAGGAACAATACAATATTAGAGATGCTAATAGCTCAATTGAGTATTATGCAATTGCAAATCTTATTACATGCATAAATTTATTATAATTTTTTTAAAATTAA